ATAGAGGCAAATCAAATGTTATTATTGCTGGAGATTTGTACGTTCCCTTGATAGCTCTCGTGATGGTAGTGTATACTGTCTGCATGTCATTAGGATTCGCATTGATGATTGGCAGAAACTCGATTGAGGATTTCAGTGCTAGTCCATTGTAGGTCTGATGCATGAAAGCCATGAAGTTGGGATGAACGGTTCTTCCCTCTATCCATCCATTGTACCAGTCTATGACCGAATCATCTGTTGGGATGGATTTCTCTGGTACTTTGTGTTGAAGGTCTTCATACTTCATGAGTTTCATCTCCAGTAGGGCGTTTGTTCGTTGTGGCACATAATTATGCAGGCCTTCAATATTTGACAGAGTTTCACTTTTAACGATTGGCTTTCTCTGTAACTTCCGATTCTCATCAACTTCAAGTTGATTTGAGTTTTCTGGAGTCGTTACTTTGATCTGCCCCATAGCGTGAAAACCCAGCTGGCCATCCAATGTGATCAGATCAGTTTTATACCAAGACCATACTAGGTCATATACATACCATGTGTGTTGATGAGGTATGATTAATAAGTATGGCCGAGTGTTTTAGACTGGCTCAATAACATAAGACCTCCTCTACAAATGGCAATTTAGAAACCCTTTTCCTTTTTGTCCTCATTTTTGGAGGTCAAAATTTGATGCAAAGAGTTTTTTTTTATTTAAGTCTTCTTTCATTTTTAATTCTGCGCATTTTGACACCAATTTTACCTATATACCGTATTCTGATGATAAAATATGATTCATACAAAAATCATAGCTATTTTGGCAAAAGTCAATGACCTTTGACCTCCGATAAAAAAATTTCCCCAGCCCCTATCTCCCCTTCTTTTTTTTTTTGGTAGTTGTCCAGACCCATACCTTATAAAATCAGTTGAAATTAGCTTCTTTTAAATTTTTTCACAGATTGGCTCAATATATGGCTAATTTAGGGTTACTAGGTAAGATAATGTAATATATATTATTATATATCTGTCATCGTAACGCCATAACTTACAGAATGCAGTAATTATATAGTATTCTCATCCTACCATATAAGGAAATGCAAATTCCAAATATAGAATGATTACGCACGTAATTGTACTCTAATAATAAAAACAAATATGGCTGCCACCAGGGTTTGACCGGACTCCACACACAGAAGTGCACTGTTTCTGTACTACAAATATATATATATATATCAATCAAATACATTAGGAAATGGTTTGTTTTTGTTTTCCCATAGCACAGAAGCATTTATTTCATTTGTACACTTTAGACTCATCATCTTCACCAAAAATATGCTCATCATCGTAAATGCAGAGCAGAGCAGAGCGGAGCAGAGCAGAGCTGTCTGTTGTCCGTTCATCAATAATTACATTTCCATCTTCTTCTTGAAAACTATCACCTCAATTCCTTTGATACTTAGTATGTAGCTACCCCAGTCAGATTTGTTTATTTTGTGACTATATCTTCAATTCTCTGCACTGATGAAATAATGGCGCTATTTTAACAGGTATCTTGTAAAATACAAAAAATAATGATATTGTTTGTTTTTGAACACAGGTATGGTGGGACAACACAGGATGGCATGCATTACCAATTTACATTAATATATTCAGTAATATGTTATTAAGATCTAACATAGCAGTCAATGAAGATCCTGCTGAGTATGGTATAACATTGTATAATCATCCAATGAACAGAACACAAGACCAAATGGATTATATTCTCTAGTATGTATTAACACTAATCTGAAATTTTATTTGTAGCATGTGTGTACCTATAAGTTGGTAAAATTGTAAGGCTTGGACCCCTGTGACGTTGTTTACACTTTAACCCTTATCTGGTCAGGTCAATGTAAAAGTTCATGGGGGCTGGCTGTCACCATCGTTAACTATATTTTTGTTGAGATATTAACCAAAGTATACTCTATGCAAAATTATACTGTCTTGTTAATATTGTTCACAATATATAATTCATAAAACTCACATAACCCCTCAATATCATCATCATTTGGTAGAAAATTAGCATTAAGTAAACTGACCTCATGTACATGTTGATTCATTATTTTAGATTCAATTTAGTTGTCTGGGTAAGCGCTCAGGGTCCTGAACATAGAAAATTGCCAAAAAAATAGGGATGGGCATATGCCTGGACACCCCCTGCAAAAAAACTAAAATTAGCAAAAAACGATCGAACTGCTGCAGGAAATAGAATGGCAAATGAAAAAATGCAACAAAAATAAATGAACATATGCAACATTAGAAGTGTAACAACAAATATTTATTGCTTATAATGTGACAAATAAAGCAGAAATAATGAAAATCAAACACGCCCAATATGTGTGAATTCAAAATGAACTAAAATGTCACAGGTTAAATTGCATAGAATTATTTCCAGTTTTGACAATTACTGGATCAACAGTCAAACATGAACAATAATAATTTTTGAATTTACACAGCAAAAATTACGAAAGTTCACAGTTGTTTGAAAAAACCTCACAGATCTCCATTTGCATGTTCAATGCCATCATCGTCAAAGTCAAAACCCTCATAGTCCAAGTCAACGTCACTGTCACCATCCTACAAAATCCCTACAACTTCGTCCTGAAGTTCGTCAATGTTGTCACACACTACTGTAAAACATGCCTTTTTCACGACCATGTCTTTTTAGCGAGAAAACTGATTCACTAATTCAAGATGACGCTAATGACTTTATTATAAATTCAAAATGTCTGTCAAACAACGTCTTTTTTCTCTACACACTCTTTGTAAACAACACAAAATAAAATGTCTTGACATGATAGATACACTTTATTGAAAAGTAAATTAACACAAAAAAATAAACGTATTTATTGTGGTCATTATTTCAATGAAAATAAATAAATGAAGTGATGATATATTATTATGGAAATTAGTACATGTAATACTTAGTATTTTTGAGTCCCAATATAAATAGATGTAACGCAGCAAAGATGCCCACTTTTTCAAATCCCTGTTGAATCAGTTTGTTATCATTGTGAACAGAATCAAATTAAACTTTACAGTTTTTCTTTGTTTTTATGGAGATGATAACTGCGCATTTGTTTTGGCGCGTGACTGAAAAGTATTGTGAAAACAGGAAATCAGCAATGAGATTCGTTAAATCAACATTCGATATTACGTCATTTTACCACAATTTGCTAAAATTGTATGTCCCTTTTCCAACATGTTTTACAGTATTTGCACATTAAATCTGTCAGCATGGCTAATCACAATAAAAAAACAAAAAAATGGTGTCGCGTGCAAACAGCTCTATCATCTTTGACCTTTAAGCATCAGCTTTACTGATTGGCTAAGAATGACATGACTACTAGACTTAGTGTTTCATCATAGAGGTCAAGTCATTGGCATGACATTGCAAAATTGCTGGCCCTAGTTATGTATTCGCAAGCTGCTACCAAATATTTTACAATGCTAAAACAATGTGCTTTCAATCACCTCCCCCGCCAAAGCCGAACGAGTGCGACACTTGCTTCGCGGCTCTCGATACTGTAAGATTTGCTTGAATAGTTTTTAAGGAAACACAAATGGCCCTTTTCAGAGCCATGATGTATTTGATTCTGGTGAAAAATCTTGAAACATAAATGTAAATTACATAAACAGCAGGCCCTGAAGGAGAACACGAACTTACCTATTTAGCTACCACAGCTATTTCGTGTTCACTCCTCGTTTGACTTTTTTTTTTCAAGACATTTATCAGACTGCAACTGTTAATACAACGAACAAAAAATAGGAAAAGACCCCCTGGGCGTATTCCTGGACATGATCTCAATTTCTTTATTGTATCAAAATTGGTGGGTGGGTGTTTGCCCGGGCATATAGGTGCTTACCCGGACAACTACGGTAGATCATAAATCAAAGAACACACAGAAAAGAAAATCTCAAAACACTTGTGAGCCTGAAAGTTCACACTATTTGCCTGGTATGCATTGCAACATAATTAATGTATTTGTATTGTATAACTGGTATGTTTAATTTTAAATTCCAAATCTATTAAATTATATTGACTAATATTTTTATTTTTCTAGTCTCTATGCCTCAGTAGACCTCGGTATCGCCATCTTTACTGTATTTGCATTGGCGTTTGTACCAGCCAGTTTTGTGGTGTATCTCATACAGGATAAATCAAGCAATGCTAAACATTTACAATTTGTTAGTGGTTTGAACCCTACAATTTATTGGATTACTCATTTTATATGGGATTTGGTGAGTATATAGATTCTGATATGCAACACATTGATACATGACATTATACTTTGGGTTAAATAATTTATATATTCAATCTTAAATAATATCTTTATTTGGGCTATACACCATTGAATACATCAAATACTAACATACTGCATGTAAACTACATTTGTATACATTTTGTACTGTCACATTATACAGACATTAGTTTAAATCAATCCTAACTTTGATGACATTCATCTTTGATTGTCGAACACTACAAAATGTATGCCTTAAAGTTGACCTTGATATAAAAAAGAATTGTTTAAATACGTAGTGTGGAATTCCACACTTGCCTGCTCCTAACTCTATTGTATTGTGTTTTGTTTCAGTGCAATTATTGTATCACAGCATTTCTTGTGATTGTCATATTTGTTGCGTTCCAAAAAGATTCCTACGTTGGTGGAGAAAATCTGCCATGTTTAGTGGCACTTCTGTTGCTATATGGGTAAGGGTGATTGATAGATAGTGATGTTGTTTCTGCTACAGTATATTTACATCAAAGTGGCAAACACTTATGCTGAGAAAAGAAATTTTTGTTGTATACCATTGCTAAATAGGACTGTTATGTGGCCATAATTAATCTTTTCACCACCAGTTCTCTCGTTTTACCTTTCTCGCCCAAATTATTCTGTTTTTTTTTCTTATATTCTTCAATATTCATGGAAATGAACTCTAATTTTGGAGCCAACAAACAAAATTGAGTCAATTTTCAGTTTTTACTAAAAAAAAATTGGCTATTTTTATACCAAACTTCTGAAGGATAGTGCAAACATGACTATTTTGTGAATTTGTGATGGAAAGAGGGAACTGGTGGTGAAAAGGTTAAAAAAAAAGCAAAAACATGTTAGTTGTGAAATTGATAAGAATTTTGTTTCCTCCACAGTTGGGCAATAACACCATTGATGTATCCTGCGTCCTATATGTTTTCTGTACCGAGTACAGCATACGTCTTCTTGGCATGTTGTAATATCATTATTGGAATGGTGGCAACAATTGCTACATTCATTCTTGACTACATGGATGATGAGGAGGTAGGTCACCATGGTAACAACATTGATGAAGATTCCATTTCAAATATATTACTAGAAAAGCTTTAACTTTTATTTGGATTTACTTTCACTATAATCTTGAGAACCTTCACTATGTTTTAAATTCACAGTAATTGAAATCTGTCTCTTTCATTTTTTCAGGACTTGATCAAAATTAACAATGTGTTGAAGAAAGTTTTTTTGATCTTTCCACATTTCTGTTTGGGTCGTGGTCTGCTTGACATGGCCACCAATCAGTTGTATGCAGATGCGTTTGCTCAATTCGGTAAGACAAAATATATTAATTTATAATTGTCTGCATTAGTGACATGTGTAAGCAAAGCCTTATATTGTGGAATTGCATTGATTCAAGCCAGGTATCAAGTATAATAATTGATACAAAAAGGATTCTATACTCATTTCTGTGTGGTACATCATTCACTAATTTAGTTGAAACACAAGGCATCCTGACGGATGAAATGTGTTATTTAGGACTTTCATACAACAGAAAGTGAACCAAACTAAAATTATCCAATATGCCATCATACTGTTTTGAACTCCTGTGTGCAAAGCACAAAATGGGAGTCTTTGTGGTTACTGTGTGTGTGTGTGTGTGTGTTTGTATGTATGTATACATACATGTATGTCTGTTCACATGATATCTCAAGAACCACTTGTTTGATTTCAAGGGAACTGGATTCATACATGTAGATGATCTGGGGCAATATACACATGCCTTATTTTTTTTTTATTGAAATCAGTGCATATTAATGTGTAATTTGCATAATGATTTTGAACATTTCCACTCATATCTCAATAACCAATCATTGCATTCTGTGACAATTTGTACACGTTCTAGGATGAATTTTGTGCATACTAATTACCTAATTTGCAAACCAGACTACAAACCACAGATGTACAATTAATATATAAATGGCTATACTCATATTAATTATTGTAACAAAATTCCGTTGGGGAGCAAGGAGAAACTCTGCAAAAAAGCAATCCCCCAAACACCCCTTCAGTTATTGTACCTTGTGTTACTGAGGGTTAAACAGTAGCACGAATTCTACTTTAGTGAATATGAGCGACGTCTGGAAAAGGTAGCGTAAGGTAGCATTGCCAAATAAATTAAAGGTAATTTAGCTTCACATATTCACAAGGTCCGGCTTCAGTTATCATAAATTGAAGGCTTATTTCCTAATGAATGGCTGGTACACTGGGTCATGAAAATGGGAGATCATACCAGAAGGGCGAAGGGGTCAACTCGGGTCAGTTCCTATTTCGATAAAATATACTCAGACAAAGGAAATATAAAGTTAAAATGGTTTAATAATACAACACGAAAATAGAGAGAACAAATACAGAAAATTGGTATGGTCAGATGCTAATTAATTAAGTTCCAGAAATACATCAAATATTGACAATATCTGCGGTTGGTGTTTTTACAAGGATTAAGTTCAGTCTTTTACAAAAGTGTACAGAGCGTACTTGGACTCAAACCTACATTCGAGCTATTGAATCAAGTCTGGATTTTTAATGAGGTATTGCTATTTTTAGACGCAGAGTCTCGTGATGACACTGGACAGTACTGCGTGCTACTCAGTTTCCCATAGCCTAGGTTGCTATGCCAACTGAATTCCACTGTAAATCAATACATGGACTTGGACACTATCACTTTACAAGTATCTGTAAACCCGCCAACTAACAATGAGAGTATTTGGTTTCACCACAGGCACGATGATCAACCAATTAAGATACTCTTGTTTAGCTATCACCACTAATCCCTTGATTAACTCTAGTTATAATTTCACGGCCGATTGAAACATTATATAACCTTTAAGAGCCGAAACAAATCAATTAATGAACCACAACTAATAATAAGCCAAATTTTAGGTCCGGAATTAATAATTTTACTAGGTTTTCTACTTTATAATGAAGTGCCTCTCTGTGAATTCTAGCGATCTCACAAACCATTTAACAACTGTTATCGCGATTGTGTTGTCATTTCCGGTTTCCAGGGAGGCTTTTTCCCGGGTTCTGGTCACTGAGAGAAGACAAAGATCCTGTCTCAAATTCGAAAGTCTATTCAAAGAGTTATTGCTTACCTGAAAACTATGAAAATCAGTACTGAGTCAGGTTTCTCCGTGTTCCCACATCAAACATACTGTAAGCTCTCGCTGGAAAACGGTGAACTTAGCAGGCAAAACTTGAACTTGGACAGTCTTCTCCCAGTCCGTAGTCAGAGACAAGTTTACAGTGAAAAACAGGCCTTTTTATACAAAATACGGCATAGCAAGAATTTCTCAGATTCTATGGAATTATTTGGAATTTGTACTCTCATTGGCCAATTTCTCTAAATATCCTTTTTAGGTAGAATTTAGGAATCTTGTTATTGTCCAAAGCGGGCTATGTTTACATCCATATTTAGTATTACTGCTATTTGGGAGATACCTGAAGATGATATTTTACCTGTAATAAATACGCTTCACTACTTGGATGCTATTAAATTTCTCAATTGGAGGTCATAAACAAGTGTATCTATTTCAAGAGGCCTCTTCGGACGTTTTCAAATATGGAAAATATTTTAGGGATCGAATATCATCAGCCACCTGGTTGCTGGACTTGAAACAATATACTCGTGGACTGTAAAGTATCAGTTGTCATCCCAGCACTTCGGATGTATCTACTTGTGGATCTGTCTTCACGTGTCTTCAAGATTCTATTACAAGAGTTGATATACGATCCGAGCAAGACATGAAAAAGGGAGGGGGTGTACAATGTACTAGGCGGCTATTTTATTACATTATTACAATCAAATTGATTAGTTCTTGTTCATTTAACATGTAAGAAAACCTCTGTGTGTGTATGTGTGTGTGTGCATGTGTATGTATGTGTGTGCATGTGTGTGCATGTGTACATCTCCACCTGTATCTCAGACATGCCTGGACCGATGATATTCAAACTTCATAAATACATCATGCATCTTAGAATAAATATTCACGATCAAATTCAGGATGGCCGAATGGTGGCAATTTTTGTGCTACAAATTTCTGCTAATTCAAAACCAGATCTCGGTCAGGTATGGACAGTTTTTATTCAAACATCAGATATATTGTACATCATTTTGTTCTTTCTAAAAATGTCTTTGATAATTTATTGCAGGTGAGGATATATTTACTAGTCCATTTGATTGGAGTATCTGTGGAAAGAATCTCTTATGTTTAGGAATTGAAGGTTTTGTCTTCTTTGGCATAGTGCTTTTGATACAGTATGGATCATTATTTCACTGTGGGTAAGTATGTACATCACATGTTGGAACTGAGAGTAATGAATATTGTACACTGCATATGGTGTTACATCCTGATAAAACTGATTGAAATCTGATTCACTTACATTTCATGATGTCAAACTTTTCACTTGTTTGATTCAGCTGACAAAGTATTAAAGCAAACAAATTTGTTTGTAGGTCTTGTTTTGAAACTGCTAAATGCAAAGAAAACATTGAGGAAGATGAAGATGTGTATCAAGAAAGACAACGAGTGCTGAGCAGTGAGTCTAATGAAGATTTATTGAAATTACACAACTTGACAAAGGTAAAGTGAAAATTTCAGTGAAAAAATATAAATTAACTGTATAATGAGTGTACGAATAATATGAACAAAATGTTTTTATCAGCGCTTGTTTTCTGTATTCAAATTGAATGTTACAGTTAGTTATAAAATAAAAAAAAGTCCATAAAAACAAGAGTAACCTAAAAACATATAAAAGAAACTGTTTGTAATGTTGGATACTAATGTGGGATAATTAATGTATGTTTACATTATAGGTTTATAGATCTCATTCTGGCAAGAAGAATATAGCAGTGGATAGGATATGTGTTGGTATCCCAGCAGGACAGGTGGGTACTGGGTAGGATATGTGTTGGTATCCCAGCAGGACAGGTGGGTACTGGGTAGGATATGTGTTGGTATCCCAGCAGGACAGGTGGGTACTGGGTAGGATATGTGTTGGTATACAAGTAGGACAGGTGGGTACTGGGTAGGATATGTGTTGGTATCCCAGCAGGACAGGTGGGTACTGGGTAGGATATGTGTTGGTATCCCAGC